TTCCCCTCCCAGTCTCTAGAAAGGGAATCAGATCAAACTCTATTTATCAATAGCTCCTCATACTATTTTTTTTTTTTGTTTTCATACCTTTCAAGGTCAGTAGGGGCTGTTGTTATCAGCTAAGCTGCCTTCCTGCAGAACTGATACCCAGGCTCCCTGAATTGGTGTGCACTAAAAATGTCCACTAGTTAATACATATTAAGCAAAACCATCCAATATTGATTTCAGAATTTCAAAAAATAGAATCAATCTTTCATGAGTTCTTCTGATTAATTTATATAACTGCTAAATAAATAATTGCAGGTAATTAATAACTAAAATGACCTACTTCGCCTCTCAGCCTTTAAGTTTTGTTTTATCTTTGTCTCACATGTGGAACTGGAAATATAATCAGCTTTGTTACCATGTACTTGCTGATTTCAGTCACTGAAAACTCATTTTTTAGTCATTCACTTGAAAGTGGGAAAAACTGAGCTGGCTGAGTCTTTGCCATAAAAGATGTTTTTTTGTTACTGAGTTTCTCCCAAGTTCTTTCCCAGTTCCTCAGGATTGCTCTTGCATGGAGAGGACTCAGTATCCCATAACTGTGGACAGACAATAAACTGAATATGATAACTGAACCTATTTAATCAGTCTCCTCCTTTTTGTGTACTCAAGGAGTGATTGCCTGGGATCCTGCAGAGAATAAAGTTCCTTATTGTGTAATTAGGTATCATCTGCTGTAGATCTGGCCAGAATTAAATATTAATTTGTGGCTTTTAGCAGCTAATTAGATATCAATCACTTGCCCCCTGCATGACTTGACACTTCCCAATTGTTATCTGCAAATTTCATCAAATGAATGACTTTCTTTCCAAGTTTTTAGTAGAAATATTAATATTGTAAAGCCTCCAAATGTTTTCTTCAAGACCCCACTGCAAAATTCACTGTTGAGCACTGATTTTTTTTTTTTTTGTGTGTGTGTATGTGTACTTCTGGAAGCAGCTGCTGGAGAATCTGGAATCCTTCTGTGTATGTGTCTTGTTAGTTTTGTGTCAACTGAGTTTTTAATCAAACTGTCATGTATTACTAAGCAAAAGACCTTTCAAAGATCCAGTTATACCCACAGCATTATTTTAAGCAATTCAAAGTTTAATCATACCAAAATATGATGTAGGTTACTTTGAAAATATTTTAACCCACACAGCCCTTTACTTACCACAACTACATTTCTTTCCTCTATTTATGGAGTCTGCCACAGACATTGTATCATTTAATTTGGGAGTGCTGTCAGCTGAGCTGGCCTATAATTTCACAGGTCATTTTATTTTCATTGCTCAAATATATAGAGACTAGAAACTATCTGCAATTCTTTTGATGTCTTCACCCACTTTTCAAGGTTTATTAAAGTCAGCAGTAATAATATAGAACATTTTTAGGCTACCAACTCTTTTAAAACTACCCATTCTGTATCCTTACTCACTGAAAATACAGATTGGGTTTTTTTTTCCCTCAATTTCCCTTAATTTTTATGGATATTTATTGTTATAAATATGAAGACATCTCTGGAAGTTAGATTTTCTCCTTTCTAAAACATAATTCTTCCCCACTACAGCAATGTGACAATGCAGGGAGATCATCTCTTTTCATTGCTTTACTATTAAGGACAAAAATTTCCAGCTTTATTCTCTCCCATTTCTTCAGCTATTTTGTTATTGCAATTGCTGGTTATTTTAGTTAGATTATGTGTATATGTAAAAGAAGAGAGAAATCTTGATTATCTCAAGATTCTGGAAAATTCTGCAAATAGTGCAGGAAAATTGCAGAACGGCTGATAAGCAGCTCAAAAACTCTTAACGCAAAGGATTTTCTCTAGGGGGAAGAAAACCCTTGAATTATTTTCTTTTCCAACCTTACTTATTCTAAGTGACCAAGTCCAGTGCAGTTATTATTAGGTTCTTTATTAATTTTGAATTTTCCTCAGCATTCACTGTTCTTAGAGTTTCGTGGGACAGTAGCCTAAGTTTATCTTTTATTGTTGAGAGAGCTTTTTTTTTTTTTTTCCTAAAAGCGGGCAAGCATATTTTTAAAGAAGTCTAAACAGCAGAACATCATTATTTTGTGCATCAAGTCAAAGGCTCTGTTGGCTGTTATAGCTATAATTCTGTGGCTACTGCAGGGAGTAAATGTTGCCTTCTGTACTGTGAAGTAATTTTCCTACTGGTGCTTTTATTTGAGATGTTAATTTTCCTTCTTATGATTTTTTTTAATATTAACATATCATTTGGAAAAGTGCATACGTTTCTGTGCCCAGATTTTGTAAGGAATTACGAACACTCAGGGCTTGATTCACTGCTGCCTCATTCCAGCTTTGTGCCCGTGTGGCAAAGCACAGCTTAAAGCTGGAGCAACGTGGTGGTGTGGGAAGATCTAAATGTTAATTGGAATGATGTTCATTCAGTTTAATTCTTCTTGGCTGAGCCATAACACAAGCAAGGAGCTGGAGGCCATAAGAAAATCACAGGAATTGCTTAGGTGGCCAAATTGGATGCATGGAATGACCACCAGCAGATTTTGGGGAACACTCACAGCCTGTGATGGGGTTTTATGTCTCTTTTCTTTTCTGGTTCCAAGACTTGGAAGTGTTTTACAAGATAAGTGGGTATTAGGGTCAAAGACTGAGTCTTAACATCTTAAAATGTTATTATTGGTGGTGAGAACAAGGAGCTCTTACCTACTCTAACAGCATATTGAAACTGAAGAGAGTTAAATGGCATCAAAACACAAAACCTGGTGGTTTTCTTAAAGGTTTCATTGCAGCCTGCATCTGAGATTCTGCATGCCCTTATCACTAGAGTCCATAAAATTACTGATTGCTGTGTTCAGAGGTGTAGATTGAACTCTGTGTATGGGTTTAAGCATCTGAATTTTGTGCCCCCTCATTTTAAAATGTTTCCTTTAATTATTTGTTTTCTTAATATATGTAAAGCAGCTTTTTGTGGTGGTAAATGTGAAGCTGTTGGAAACCTTCAGCAACCAGAATTCATTCAGGAATGTGCAGTAGAGGCTCAATCCAGTCAGTTTATCCACACTGATTATGAAGTAAACACTATTTGATGGTATCACTTTATATTCAATATCAATCCACCAGTGTTTCAAAAAGAATCATTTAACAATGAATAATGCTTGATTGTAGATCTGTGTAGTAAATTAGAATATCCTAATTTAATAGAGTGTGATCTGTTATTTGCCAACAAACATACAGATTGCCTTATAAATCATGCAGCAGTGTGGTTATAGAATAACACTAGACTGGATTATATTTCATTACTCCCTATTGAACAGTCATGTTTCTGCCATGTAATGTAATTTTCCATCTTTTAACTTCATTTCTTTTACTAACAGAAATACAAATTAGTCCCAAGGAAAAATATTTACTAGGGGCAGGCAATTAACTGCATTTCAGGGAATGGCACCACATACGTGAATGTCATTAAAATGCTTTTTTTTCTTGGTTTTCACCTCACTGTATGTAGCTGTTTATGTATTTGGTGAACCATAATGAGTTTAAGGCCAGAGTGGAGGAAATAAAATACCCCAGGTAAGTATAGCTTAATGTGGTTTCAAATACAGGCTTTCTGTAATGTCTATTTTTGTTCACATCAGTCACTGTCAATTCAGAAGAAAATTTCTCCTGAACTCTTCTGTTAATGACTCAAAATGCTTGAGGTGAAATATGACTGTTTGTCCTGCTTACCCTTGCTTAACATTTATATTTCACAGCCACATGCTCCCAAAATAGGGAGCAGGAAAGGTTTGGAGTGACACAGGACATTTGTACTAATTAAAAATAGCTAAAAACTTACTGAACATTTGGGGTGGAATCAAAAAGGTAAAGTAATGCTCCATCTCACATCATTCCTACAGTCTGGGGAAGGCATAAGTAATTGAAGGAGTTTCTGTGGGATATCTGAAAGGCTTTATCACAAAAAAATCCCACCCTTCAGTATTTTAGGGAAGGGATAATTGAACATCAGAAGTAGTAACCTGGCTTTCTACAGTCCTTAGGAGCATATTTTTAGGACTTACCACTTTGAAAATATTCACTTGGATCTGGCAAGTGCCTGATTCACATCGCGGAACATTGAGGCATTGTCTTGGAAGTCCCCATGGTATATTGAAATCCTTGTGAAAATTTTGGCCAGGGTTGTGTACTTCACTTCAGTATGATGGAAGCTTTCTGATGGAAGTCCCAGTGTTTTGAACTCTGCAAGTCCTTGAGGGGCTCTTACATCCTGAGGACACCCAGGAACCTCAGGCAGGTTCATGCATGGGAGAAGCACAAAAAGTACAAAAAGCCTGGTAACCACAAAGTAACATTCCTTGAGAACATAAGTAACTCACACATTACAGGAGCTGCCAAAACCTGCAGTTAACAGTCTCATCTTTTCATTTCTGTAGGGGTTTCAGAGCCTCCTTTCATCTTTTCAGATGGGATTCTCAGTGCTGGCCTCACACTGTTCCTGTAGACATCACTGGAGGTGTTATCCTGGCCTGACAGGAATAATTAGAACAAATTGGAACACTTGGGAAAAATCCCTGTTGACCTGTTTTGCAGTTGACGTGTAACAGTAAATTTTTAAAGGTATAAGTAAAAAGTAAAAGGGTTTGTGTGAGAAAACAGAAAACTTCTTAAACTGTAGAAAAAGAATCAACAACCAAAAAAACACACAAACAGACAAACAAAAACCAACTTCCAGACAACACAAGCTTTTCTTTTAATTTATTAAAAAAATTTAATGTGAGGTACCACATTTTTACTTTACCGTTCAGTGCATGATGTTCACAGTGCTGGATACTCCAGGGTACCCCGAGGAAGAGGATTTGATCCATCTTTAATGAGATCTGGGAGGATCCAGGCTCTGGTCAGGAAATGGCCTAGTGATCCAGCCATGGAGTGACCTTGCTGTATTTTGTGTTGGAGTAACCTTGCTATATTTCATTTTGTTTTCTGTTTGTAGCTGGACAGTGCCACTTCTCTCATCCAGGCAGCTAAAAACCTGATGAACGCTGTGGTCCTTACAGTGAAAGCATCATATGTGGCTTCTACTAAATATCAGAAGGTGTATGGCACTGCTGCAGTGAACTCTCCAGTTGTATCTTGGAAGATGAAGGCCCCCGAGAAGAAACCTCTAGTAAAGAGAGAAAAACCAGAAGAATATCAGACAAGAGTGAGGAGAGGATCCCAGAAGAAACATATTTCCCCTGTACAGGCCTTAAGTGAATTTAAAGCTATGGATTCATTCTAAACCACTGAGCTTTACCAGGAGGGTTTTATATTCCTTTTTTGTATGCGTACCTGCCGACTTGTGTGCGTCTGGCATGGGGTGGGGGGGACAAAGTGACAATTTGCATGTGACCTGAGACTCTATTCCAGTAAATAACTCTCTGCAGTGCCCAAAATTCAGGGCATTGCCTTCTGATGTTAAGTGGACTTAACTCCAAGCTTCCTTTTTAAACGAAACTATAGCATTAAATTGGCCAAAGAATTTGCGTCACAGGGGTATACGTGTGGAATAAATGATAAATTCAAGTCTAAACCCCGAAATTTTTATGCATGCAAGAAACATTAGGTTGGCAGGTATATTAAATGAAAAAAAAAAAAAAAAAAAAAAAAAAAAAAAAAAAAAAAAAAAAAAAAAAGGAATTGTAATGGTAGACCATAAAGCTTGTATTGCTTCTGTTGCAGTGCAAAAATGTACTAGCCAATATGCTTCAATGTGTGGCCCAATAATTAAATAATATAACTTTTAAGTCATCTTCATTATAGTATGTGAATTTTTAAAACAGATTCAAACTAATTCATCTTAAAAATGCTTCTTTTGAACCAGATTTTGTTCTTTATATTCTAGTAGTGTTATGACTGCTCACATTTCAATTAAGCCCATTAATATGACCAGAGGTTTACTTTTGCCAATTGAATTCCTTATGGTGGAGTATGAAGCACAATATGGTGATTGACATTGCCTTTTATATTATCATTATTATTCTGATTATTATTATTATTATATTAGTAATAGAAGACCTGGTGGTGGAATGTTTAGAGACACGGGAACTGACAGTGTGAGAATTTAGAGGAAAATATGTAGGTGTAGCTTGGATTACAGGTATCTGACATACCATTGTAACCACTAACTCAATAAACTCATTTAACCTTGGAATCCTCAATCTGGCTCGTCTCCTTTAATGCACAGGTATCTCCTGAATCATAATTGATGTATAGGGTCACTAATTCTGCCTCATGATTCCTTTTTATTCTTAATTTTTGTGAATTTTCTCATTTTTTTAATAGGCAGAACAAGCCAAACGTGGCCAGTGGGTCAAAACCAGAGTTTAAATCTGAGGCAGATTTAACCCTCAATACATATGAAACATATGTGTCATGTGGGATTAAATTATTTGTTTAAATGCAACACCTCAGAAGAGTCATAAAGGTAATTCAATTTATTCACTTGTAAGGCTGGCACTTCACAAACTTGGAATCACCTATTGTGCCACGCTTTACAGACCTGTACAAAGTCCCCTGCACAAATATCTATTTTTATTCCCTTTTGACACCAACAGTTACTTAACTACAGAGACCATATTATCATTATCAAAAAGTCTGGGTGTATATATAAAAGAAAAACTATGAACATCTATTAATTTTCCTTATAATTAGGTACTGTCAAGTTAAGGGGACATTCATGGCCTCACAGGGGATTTGAAACACTGTGATAAACAACTGATAAACTGAGTTACAGCAATAGTGACAAGTGTAGGCTTTGCAGAGTTTTTGAGAGATGTTTGGATGTTGTCTCAGATACTCTGATTATTCCTCAGAATAGCAAAGCACCAAATTTTGTTCTATTGCCCTCCTACACAGCCTATGTAAAGAAATGTACTCTCAGAGGTCTTTTAGGAAATTACTATTTTTGGTTTCTTTAGTTGTACTGTGTAATAAAAGCAGTTCCCCAATCAGAGCTGGAGAGTGTAGACATGACCAAAATATATGAGATGTGGGGAAGTCTTTGCAGAGCTTTCCCTATAAAGCCCTGGAGTCTGACACAGGCTGACATTGCTTGTGGTAGCAATTAACCCCCTAAAAGTAACTGGGAACTTTACAAATGAGATTATAGAGACAAAAGACAGATACAGAGTCTAAAGACCAAAATAGCAAATAACAGACAAGTAAAAATGTCCTGGCATGCTGTGTGAAAAAGGAAAATAGGCAATTTGCCATGAAGAAAAGTAATAGCTCTTCTTCAGAAGTGTTTTCCTCTAAAGCTCTGATGGATTAACCCGATTGTTGCTTTAAAATGATGTTGTTGCTCTAAAAAGCATCTCAAATTTGGAAAAGTTTAGAGGAAAGCATGTAGTCTAATGGAACATGTGAATATGTGGACTCTCCAGTGGAGTCTCCATGGATAAAGTTCACAGTGAAAGGAGTTTGGGATCAGTCACTCACTCAGAATAATGACTGTGTCTGTGAACTGCTCCAGGAAAATCACTCAGTGAGGGAAGAATCCAGAGTGATTTTGGGCTACTTAGTCCACGGCCATTAAAATCCTACTTTTGGATGGTTTGTTTGCCTTTTGTCCATCTATGCTCTAAATAATCTTCATGGTCACACAATAAAATGTAGTGTTGATAAATGATAAAGTAATGCACATGAAAAAACGAGCCAGGAACCAACCAGGATGTGCCAGTTCAGTGCCCAGCTCATGTAGTAAAGCCAACAGGATGAGGAAGGTTTGACAGAGGAAAATATTGGGTGCCTGTGTGTGACTTGTTCATGCAGTTTTCATCCACTCACCTGAAACAAGGGATGGGAAAGTACATGGAAACATGAGAAGCATTACAAAATCTGGGATTTCTGTTGTGCAAGGAGAGACTAAATCAGGTAAGGCACTGACAGTTTTGAGCTATATGGTCTTTAAGGTCCCTTCCAACCCAAACCATTCTATGATTCTATGAAATTACTAAATAAGCAAAAAGTAACTACTGGCACTTAGAACTCAAAAATCCAGTGTTACAAAGTGAACTGTCAAACTCTCAAGCAAGTTCAATATTTTGAATTTTTTTTTCTTAAAATAAGTAAATTGTGAAATTCATTATCACAATGTCACAGTTGCCACAATGATAATTCCATTAATTGCGCCAATCAAGAATTCATTACACAGACTTTCCATCTTGAAATCTTGCAAATCTTACAGATCTAGAAGAATTCTGAGTGTAGTATAAAGGACAGGCGTAAAAAACTAATGTGGAGTTTTGAAATGTTCTCTAGAGATATTCCTCCATTGAAAAAAGGGAACTCCACACCTTTTCTCAGAAATCTGTACCCCTTTCTCATGACTATCACCTTGGTTCTCAACCAAAGTGTGTGGGTATCACACATCTTCCTGTGTGCTTACAACCTGGAAAATGTTCAAGTTGTACCTGAATGTGAGAGAAGTGAATATATTTTTATATTTCTTAATGAGAGAACATAGTTATTTTTAAGTCATTTGCTTCCAGCTGATAAATATACAGCAAATGACTGTTTTGAGGACCAACATGAAGGTCAGAGGGTTGAGTTAAGGACAATTTCTAGTGTGGTTTTAAATTCTATGGTCACTTTTCTTGTTATTCATATGCCAGGCATTGTATTTTTTCTGTGAGTTACCAAAGACAGTCAGAAATGTCTGTAGCTTTTCACCTGTGGCCATAAGAAGAAGGCTAGAGAAAATTTTTGGCTTTCTATTTTGATAAACTTCCCATTTGATAAACTTTCCCATTGAAATGGCGTTCGCATTTTAATAAACCATGGGAAAATGATCATGAAGGTATTTCAATTTATAAAACACCTCTTCAGCAAGGAGACAGCTCCTGAATTAAGAAGTCAGAGAACACAGAAAGCCTGTAAATAACTTTCAAAGTAATGTTCTTAATTTTTTTATCTCTGTACTTGTTTATTTATTAGACTGAGAATCTGAAAGTGAATAGTTAGCATAGCTAAATCTGTATTTTAGGTCAAGGAGCTACTGAGCAGGTCATTACTACAGAGGAATAGAGATTTGAGGTGTAGCAAAATAACTTAGTCCATTACTCAGACATAGCACTTTTTAATCCTTAATTCCCACTGATCTCAATCTCATTATTAAACTCACACATGAGTTTAAGTGCTTGGCTCCATATGAAGGATAGTTTTCATATGTTTAAAGCTGAACAACTGCTTTGACAATAAGGGAGTGGGGGATAAAGCATCTGCAGGGATTCACTTTGATCCACTCATTTCCTGCCACACTGCCCTCAGTGTGTGAAATTCTGATCTACGGTTCAGTTCTTTTGCACCTTAGCAAAAGGTGGACCAAGGTGTGGAAACCAAGAGGGAAACAGTCCCATGAAAACATAAATACTGTGTGGATATTTTTATATCTGGTGCTTTGTTCTGTATCTCAAAGACAGCTGGCCAAAGCAGGGTTCCTGTGTCTCTCTGAAACTCAATTTTAATACAGAGAATGGATATTTATAGACTTAAAATGAAATTTCTGCATGTAAAAATGCAGATTTCAGTCTGTTTTTCTAGCAAAAAAATAGTAAGTTTGGGGTAAATCAAGCCCCTGGTATGAATCTGAATTAGAGGCTTATAATGGAAATAAGTCAATGTATCTCTTCTCACTCTTTTTATAAAGACACCCAGTTGTTTTTATAAACAGCCCCTCAGACCAGACTGGGCTGTTCACTTAATTTATTAGGTGGTGAATATGTGTGTGGAGAAGGAAAGAAGCTGGAAGAGTCAAAAAGGATGAAATTTTTTGGTTGAAACTTCATCAGGAGTTTGCCCAGAAGTGAAAGGTCAGGTCTGAAGCTGTGTCCAAGGGCAGGCACATTATCCCACACATTGCACATCCTTGCAATTCAGGCACTTGTTTGGAAGTTGAGCACACCCTGATTTTGCTGCTGAGCTGCACCTGCAGAGATCAGGAATAACCAAGATTTTTTTCCTGTTTCTCACTGAATGACCAAGTGCATCCTCAAGCAAGGGTTCACACATTTCTCCTGCTTTAGATATTTTTCCCTTTATGACTCAGTTAACACCAAGCTATGGAGAACTTGACAGCTTGATAAAAGCTGTGGGAGGTAGAGATGTATTTTTGTGCTCTAGTTATACCTTTAAAGGAATAAATATTTAATTACTTGAGGAATGTTTCCTCCTTTTGATAATGTTAGGTGAGGTGTCATAGGTGAGTAGCTGTTACCCAATCTTATCTTCTCCCTTTGGGCAAAATTTCAAAGTTCCAGTGTTGTTTGGTAAGTCCTGCATAATAATGGGCTTGGAAAGAGTGGAATCTCTGCCAAATGTGAAATGTTTATACTTACCTGCTTTATCCCAGCTCACTAAAAATTAAACACAAGGAAGAAGAAGACATAGTGTTTCCAAAGCCTCCTAGAATATTCAGAGGTAATGACTCTGCTAGAAGGATGTGTTTGATCTATTATTTTTCTTTTCCTGAAATATTTCATGCAGAAATTATTAAAAAAAATAAAAAGGTCCTTTGGCCTGCATTTTGAGGAGGTCATATTAAATTATCTTTATGGCTCTGTTTCCTCAGTGAACCATAGAATTAGATGCTAGCAGGAGGAAAAATGAAAACAAAAATCCGCTTTTAAATCTTAATCTCTCATAACCTATTTGAATTTTTTTCTATAACAATGACTATTTTTAATTATGCATCCTCTGGGTGTGCCTGCACAAAAATTTCCAGGATTCAGAGAAATGACCAAAAATCTGACAAAGAGAAATCTACTCCCCAGGAAGAGCTGCTGCATTTATTTAGCTGGAATATTTCATGAATGTCACACAAGACCTTTGGATGGGATGTGCTGAGTTTTTTAAGATCTCTGCAGATCCCAATGCCTGAATTTATAGATATATGTGTGTGTTTGTATGTGTATTTATGTATATATACATAAATATTGGGCCTTTTATTCCAAGGCAGACATTGAGGGGCTGGAGCATGTCCAGGGAAGGTAATGGACATTGGGGAAGGATTTGGAGCTCCAGGAGCAGCTGAGAGAGCTGGGAAGGGGCTCAGGCTGGAGCAAAGGAGGCTCAGGGGGGACCTTGTGGCTCTGCAGAGCTCCTGACAGGAGGGGACAGCCGGGGGGTCGGGCTCTGCTCCAGGGAACAGGGACAGGAGGAG